ATTGTTTTGTAAAATCTGTACTATGTAAAGTGTGTAGAATAAATATCATGTATTAAAAGAAATATATAGTTAGTGAAAAATACGATAAAAAGTCAGTATAATAAAGTCATACTATAGATAATAAAATAACGGTATTGCAGGTAGAAAAACCTGAAAGTAGTCATCGTATATTATGTCAAAAATATCATGAAAAGATTTCTTCATAGTACAGTGTGGAAAAAATGGTTGTATATTAAGACGAAAATTAAAGAATAGTTAAAGTATAAATATGAAAAAAAACTCTGTAGAGTATGTTATGAAATATATTATAAGGGGAGGGAGGAGATAGAGTTCAGCCTCCTGACAGCTTGGTGGAGAAAACTGTTTATATAAAAATTATAGGTTATGTGAATAAATAAAAAGACGCATCCAATTCAGAATGAAATAACTATATTGCACACATTTCTCCAACACAACACACAGATAGAACAATATGTATAATCAAAATAACTACACAAATTAAATAATAATATCACAAAATAAACATGAATATAAAAGTAGTAGGAAACATACATTCATAAATAAAAATACATATAAGCTATAGAATGAAAAGACTAAATTGCACAGATCTTTCAACACACAAACCGAACAGAACACACGTTAAAAAAATAGGAAAATTATTTTGAGAATACAAATAAAATATATATTTTTGTATTTGTGTTTACAATATTGGACCGACAGTCGCACATACAGACTATAATGTCCGAATAGAGAATCTACCTACACCTGAATAATGCTTATTGTAGCCTACTTGTATCCATGTTGAGAGTGAATGACACACAGCACAGGCACAATCTGGCAGCGGGGTGCACTGACGCTGATAGTGGATCAATAAGTAGGTGGACAGCGCGTGGTAATGAAATAGCCAACATGCGGTGTGTGGTTTGAAAAAAATAACACCAGCTCACAAAATCATTCAAACGTAATGTTTACTTAGGATATCAAAACATTGACAACAAATCGCAGAAGCCCCTTGATCATGGAGGGCGAGGGGTGGCGGTGCATATGCTGCCATCCCAGCTGCCTCCCCAGCTGGCAGCTTTGTTTTGAAAGAAAAGTTTTGGCTCATCGGACATTTATGAGAGAAAATCCCTAATGTCCGAGTGCAAGGGAATGCAGCACAAGACGCGAGCCTTGTAACCCCTCCCCCGGCCCTGGCGCGAGCATGGAAAAGTGATTGATGGCGATTTCATTTGAACGGGACGGCGCAAAACGAGAAGCAATTTAAAATATAATTGGCTTTTAACATGGGACTGAAATGGGGCTAAAGAGGACGACCCTCCCTTTGGGAAGGTCTAGCCAGAGGCTCTGGCCTTTGATTATGTTCTGGCCCGCCATCTAGTGGCTCAGAAAAAAATTGTCCCAAGGCCAAACACAACTTTCTACACTAATTCTTACTTGGCATAACATATCTCACAAAAGATGGGCTACAACATATCAGTACTGTAGGCCTATATTACAGACATCTTTTAATTAAGCCTCTAGTATTGAAAATTACACAAAGGACTTGTCAGCACTTGCTAAATGAAGGTGACTAAATCAATAACGTTAAATTGGTTGTTCATAACGTTTTTATTGCAGGGCTACAAATGATCCTTCTGAAGTAAGACGGTTGAAAAATGATTCCAATGTTAGTTGCTGAACTGACGACGAAACACAGGCAGCTAACAAGCAGATTTGGGGAAATTGGTCCGTGCGCAAAGCATTGTGGGGATTTTAAGACCGCGGAGGATACACATGTGTAGCCTCTAAATTTCTCGCTACGAAGGACGCCGGGCTCGGTAGAATTCCAAAGAGCCTGGACATTGGAACAGTCCTTCGGCGGGACTCGATGAAGTAGAATCCTTGAAATAGTGGCTCTGGAGCATCCTTCCTTGACATTGAGAAACACCCAGTATCCCCTACCCCTTAATATATCAGATTTAATCCCATATGTTATTTTATCTTTATTTTTCCAGTAAGGATGACAAATAATAGTTAATAACTTTTACACTGGAGCACTCTTACATTTGAGAATGTATATTAAAGTGGACCTATCATGCTATATTTGAATAATATATTGTAGGGCCATACCTATATAAAACATGTCTGCGAAGTTTTTTTTTCAAAATACCAAACAGATCATGCATTTTAGCCATGCCTCATTTCGCTCTATTTGCTCTTTTTTAGCCCTGTTTTTGCAAGGGCTGAATCTGAGAAGTCTTCTTCGCTGCTTTTGTTGCAGACTACAGCGCCACCTAAAGGCCTGGCATATGTACTACAGCGTCTCCAGCGCTTTCGAACGGCAATGGCTGTGGCTGTCTCCTCCTGATAGGTCAACACACTCTCACTCCATAATCGTCCAGGAGCGACGTTTGGTCAGTGTCCGTGGCGTGCAGTTGTGACGCTCCTAGGCTCCTTCAGCATCATAAAGGGACGCAAATAGCTTTCAACTGATTGTAATGTATTCCCATCTGCGGCGGGATTTGACGCTCATGGAAGCACTGCATTCGTTTGTGTCGGCTGCCCTTAAAGGCAATGTGAGCGTCCATTCTCATTGGATAACGGAGAATTGTACACCCGGAAGTAAGTATTCCCCTTACTGTCGATTGATTTTACAGTGATATCTGCACTACTCACCGACTAAAAAACACCAGATTATCCTTGTTAATTACACAACATTGATTGGTTTAAATTGTGTGCAATGCTTTTGTATTTTTCCCCTTCGATTCGCAGAAACAAATATTTTTTCGGAGTAAAGGATGGCAGAACACTACCCACTACTACACTACCCAGAATCCCCAGCTATCATTTGGACTACACCATGTGCTCTGTTTGACAAACCCCATTTTTTTCACCATTAATTCCAATGGCTGGCGTCTATGTCACGTGATCTTCAAATTTCTACCTGCAGAAACAAAAAACATGGCCGAACTTTGTTTTATTCTCGGTGGAAAATGCCTATTTTGAAGTTAGTTTGGCCATTAAAATGCGTTTTGATGTCATTTGATGCGAGAAATATGAGTTGTTATTTCAGATTATGTGTGCAGTGGATGTACATGATCTTTAGTTTGCTAGTTATTATGAAGATTACTTCAGGAAATTGCGTCCATAGAACGTGTTCATTGTTACCAAGGTGGTTGCTAGGGACGCTGCTATCGATATTATTTCTGTTATGTTGTGTAACTGTTTAATGGTGTTATCTTTATTGCTACCCCCTTCCCCGTCAATGTATAGTGTTGGTCCACAGCGCAAACGTATTAGTTTAACAAAATCCGCATCTAAAGATACGTTATTTTCCCCTGTGCAATTCCAGTCACATCTCACAGCACATCGTCATTAACAAATACCGGAAACAGACCGAAAACATAAAAAAATAAAAATAATAATACTTTATTCCGAGTGTGCTTGCTTTTCTCTTTGAAAGTCATCACATAACGGCATTGTAATACACGGTTCGGCTGCATTAAATATTACATATCTGCCGTAGTTCTGTATTTATAGAGCCCTGATGAGTAGACTTCTAGACAAACATGAGGAACTGAAAACGTGACGTGGATCATAAATATATCAGCCATTAAACAACATCTTACATTTCTTTTCACACAATACGTCTCCTTGCAGTATCAACACTAATTCGGCCGACTTTTATATTTGATCCAATTGGTAGATAGGCTGTATTTACACCATAAAGGTGCACAGCTGATATAAAGGGACACCTAGTGGTTAAAGCATGTTATTGAATTTCATTATTTTTATTATTAGATATTAATAGGATCCCTATAAAGTATATTCATTACTCGTTATTCTCTACTAATAGTTCATTAAAGACTGTATTTTGCACATCCCTTTCAAGATTTCAAGATTTTCTAAGGTTTATTGACATATCATATAGGCCTACACAACTATTGTGTAGTTATGCATTGAATGAAAAACTTGGGTCGCAGGTTCCTCAATAGTGCATTACAAGACATCTATCAATATTTGTGCATACCTCCAGCAATGTTAACTATGTTGAAGCACTTATTTTAACTGATATTATACATAATGTATTATACTCTTATAAGATGTATGTAGATATTTCATCTCCGGCCTTGTCAGGTATTGAACAATCAATAAATAAAGAACACAGAATTGTTAAATATAAAACACAGAATTTGTGTGATTATACTAAATGATTTACAAATAAACACCACTGCATATTTACAACTGTTACACATGCTGATGTAACGCAAATGTTCCAACTTGGGATCAATAAAGTATATCTTATCTTAAGCTGATCGATGGCTACTGCCATATTTGCCATTTCAAGTGCTGTTCGAGGCTCGGCGTAACCCTCGGAGCACACTCTCCAATCACAGAGCTTGAGGACTATCACAGGGTTTGTCAAACAGAGCACATGGTGTAGTCCAAACGATAGCTGGGGATTCTGGGTAGTGTAGTGTCTTCTGCCATCCTTTACTCCGAAAAAATATTTGTTTCTCCGAATCGAAGGGGAAAAATACAAAAGCATTGCACACAATTTAAACCAATCAATGTTGTGTAATTAACAAGGATAATCTGGTGTTTTTTAGTCGGTGAGTAGTGCAGATATCACTGTAAAATCAAATACTTACTTCCGGGTGTACAATTCTCCGTTATCCAATGAGAATGGACGCTCACATTGCCTTTAAGGGCAGCTGACACAAACGAATGCCGTGCTTCCATGAGTGTCAAATCTCGCCGCAGATGGGAATACATTGCAATCAGTTGAAAGCTATTTGCGTCCCTTTATGAAGCTGAATGAGCCTAGGAGCGTCACAACTGCACGCCACGGACACTGACCAAACGTCGCTCCTGGACGATTATGGAGTGAGAGTGTGTTGGATAGGTGGACGGTTGCCCATTTAGGCGGAGCTCCTTGTTTCTGACGTCAGAGATATTTCAAATCTGTATCAGTCTGTATCAGAGCTGTTGCAGCCCAGTTTTTAGAGATTTGGGTATGAGAAAAGAGAGGTTTGTGTTTTCTGACACTTGGTGAGTTTCCTGACACACCGGGGACACATATTCATGTATAAAAGACGTACAAAAGTGCATTTTGCATGATAGGTCCCCTTTAAGTTCATATTATAGTTTATTTATCTGACACATTCAGGGATTTGGGTGGGTTTGGGTAGGTGTGTGAACAGTTTACCCTTTTAAAGAGGCGTGTGGCGCAGTGGAATAGTGCGTTGGTGTTCGGATCAGGGGAGCACAGGTTCAAACCCCAGGCTCTGTATATAGATAAATAGGTTTGAGAAGTAAAGTAACAACAAATATGAATGATATATTATATCAGAGTAATTATATGATTGATTTATAATTCAGGCTACAAATCCCTATGGAAATAGTAGGAAATTAACATGAATGTAATAATAATAATAATAATAATAGATTACATTTGTATAGCGCCTTTCAAGGGACCCAAGGCCGCTTTTACATGGTGAACAAACAAACAAAAGGGGCAAATAATAAAGTAAAATGTAGATCAGAAGCTCGGCTCTTTGTTTTGTAACTATATCTGACCTCCCCCCTGTTTCCCGTACAGTCTCTCTCTCTCCCCCCTCTGTTTTCTATTTTCTCTCCCCTGTGTTCCTTCAGCTGCTGCCTGTCCGTCACTCTGCAGGCTGGGTTTCGGGGGGTAAAATCTCTGTGGGCTTCTGCAGCAGTCGGCCATGAAGCTCCAGCCTGCCGCTCTGATCTCCGTCTTCCTCCTCGCTCTGTTCTCAGCTGGTGAGTTTGACATTTCACCCACACATTTTTTATAGTAAAACTGCTTTTATCCAAAGTTTGAGTGAGCTAAAGTTTCATTGATGTGAGTTTGTGAAGGCCCATACTGACTATCGTAGTATTAAAGCAGCATATACGCAGTCGAAAATATTTATTTGATTTAATTTCTATGCTAAACCACCATTTTCTTCGATTCCCCCCCCCCCCTAATTATTTGCTCGATGGTTAGAAAAAGTTGAAATGTTTTAAAATGTATACATACACAATTTAATTTTTTTTCCCCTTTATTAAATGCTTTCAAGGTAAGAAAACACTGCTTTATACATTGTAACGCATGACAAACTTACTCTCCTCTAAAATGTTGTTATTTCAGCTCTTTTCAGGGAAATTATAAACACCTTAGGAGTCATTAGTTGATTAAATAAGTCAATCAACAAAATTAATCGTCAACAAATCAGAAAATGTAGTATTTGATTCAAGTCATTTTAAAAAAGCAAAAATGCCAGTAATTCACTTGTTTTAGCATCTCAACGGTAGATATTTGATAGTTTTCTTAGGTTTTTTTTTATAGTTGAGTTAAACATCTTTCAAGTAAAAAAATGTTCTTGTAAATGTATGAGTTTGAAATACACCATTTATAGCTGAAAGAATGTTTTATATTTTAACCCTAGAGCCTTTTTTTCAATGACTTATAATCTCAGAGAAGATATATCAGTTCGATCTCTATTGATTTTTATTATGTAAATGTAGCTTAAGGAACCTTTTAAAATGCATTAAAAAAAAAACGATATTATATAGATTTATTCATCATCCGATTGACCAACATTTTTAATAATAATTTGTTTTCAGAGACAGGTCAAAATAAATGCAAGACTTGATGTAAACGACAGGTGTTTTCTTTATTGAAGCTGTGAGGATTCTTTATGTTATCAAATCAGTGGAGGACCCTGATTGGGCTTTCATTTCATAATATTCAATATATATATATGTGAGAATAAAAACTATCATGGCCGCGTAAAGAGGGGAAGTGTCTGCCAGCTCTTGCAGTGTGTACACTCGGTGGTGTTACAGCAGCAGTGTAGTATTCTGAACACAGAGCAGCTGCCATCACGAAATATGACCGGCGTGAAAGTATTCACACACGACCCTGTTTGTTTTCTAGAGGTGGAATGTAACTAAGTACATTTAATCAAGAACACAGTCAATGTCCTTGAATATTTCCCTTTTACATAGCGTTATACTTCCGCTCCTTTACTTCTTGTTCTTGTTCTTCTTAAGCTAAATATAGTTTACAAAAAGATCAGCTGGAAAATGCATTGTCACAAAGCTGAAAACAGGGCTGTTTTTCTGAGACACTTTGTAAAGATAAGTGTTTCTCCTAGCACAAAGCCACAAACATATTTACAGAATATGATGCATTTAACAGTTTATAAAGGATTTAGGTTTGTAAAATGCTAAGAAGCATGTGAATAAAGTCTGAAGATGTATGAACACATTTCTGAATAATTATCTTCAAAAGTTCATTGAAAAATGTCAGAGAATTGAATACAAAATGATACCTAAAGGACCTGAAGATTAAACTAGGCCACAGTATATAAATGAGTTAAAAACAACAAAATGAAGCCTACATATTGATGCAGCATTGATATTAATCCAAGAACATTATATGTATTTTTATTTTAATACAAAATCTATATTTTCCTAAACTACATTTTGCTGCTAATATCGCATGTTCCTAAAGATGAGGGTGGATTTTTTTGGATTCATGACTAATAGTTACTGGTGTTTTTCTGACTTTAATGTGAATTACGAGTGTTAAAGTGTGTGTGTGTGTGTGTGTGTGTGTGTGTGTGTGTGTGTGTGTGTGTGTGTGTGTGTGTGTGTGTGTGTGTGTGTCAGAGTGCTGGTGCAGGAACGAGGAGGAGCGTCTGATCAACTTCCTGATTACAGAGCAAGGATACAACAAAGAGCTGCGACCCGTAAAGAGACAGCAGGATGTCGTCGATGTTTACCTCGCCCTCACACTCTCCAACCTCATCTCTCTGGTACACACCGTGTGTGTGTGTGTGTGTGTGTGTGTGTGTGTGTGTGTGTGTGTGTGTGTGTGTGTGTGTGTGTGTGTGTGTGTGTGTGTGTGTGTGTGTATTTGGTGCTAGTCACATGCTGGATTTGAGCGTGCATTATAGGTTTATTTAACTCAAACAATAGAGGCATAATCTCAATAGACACTCAAATCCCACATAAGGATTTGGAACTGGAGCTGCCAATGAATTATCAATAGACAGAATACATATTTGACATCTATTTTTATAATCGATTAATCGTAAATTCCATGCAAAATTGCTTAAAAATACTGTTTTCATCCTCTAGTGCAGGGGTGGCCAACCAGTCAGAGGTTAAGAGCCACATTTTTTCTATGTTACTGCAAAGAGCCACATCAAACACACAGTCACTGATACCGCTTGTTTCAGTTTTTTGTTTTCTGGAGACAAGATTTCAACCACGTCACTGATGCATTTTTGTGGCATTGGGATATATATTTTTAAAATCCTCTGGAGCAGAGAGGAGCTGTGGATTATTGTTATTGATTAATGCATCAGTGTTTCTTAGGGTCAAAAACACTAAACTCACAACTTCAAATGAAAGCGTTTAGTTTATTTAATAAAAGAGCACATGTTCAATGTGAAAAGTGATAGTAGTTATAGATTATTTTCAATTTGGTGCGATATATATATATTTAAAAAAAAATTATATATATTTTTTAAACACCTTGAATTTCAGGGGGGGCGCGGGGCTCCGTTGGCGGGGTGCAGCGCCCTTCAAAGACAATGGTAGGGGAAACACTGGATAGTAGTGTTTAATCAACGATAGGTTTCCCCCCCCCTCAAAAAGTGATTGGTTCACTGCATCGCAGGTATTATTGTGATTGGCTCTTGGGCCACATCAAAATTAGACGCGCTGTCATCCTCTCATACTGACACCTGACACCACACATACACACGTAGGGAGAGCCGGGACGAAAGTAACGGAGCAATTTTATCCGAGCCCAAACAACTTTGACCGGCCAAATTACGTCAGAATTATCAGCATTCAATACTTAACAGACCTACTAAATATCAGGTTTAACTGTCGTGTTGTCACGATACCAACATTTTGGTTTCGATACCAAGTCAAGAATTGCGATTCCGATTATTTTTCGATACTTTTCTTAAAAAAAGGGAAACAGTCTTAAATGTAATTATTGTGCTTTATTTCAGACCAGAACCAGAACCATAACACAACCTTTAAACAATGAGAACAATAAATACAATAAATGACAAGAATTCGTATTAAATAAAATTAATACATTTCTTACAGACAGGCCTCGTGGTGTCCGTAGGCTTGCCCTCACTGTCAGAGATATAGCTAAAATACTTCCACATTTCGCTTCTGGCGTCTTTTTTGTCAACAAGCCGAGGGGCAGCGGCAGTTGCACTCCCACTTGCAGCCATGCTTCTCGTTTTCTCACATGCTCTGGCAGCTAGCGCGTGCACGAGAGCGGGGAGGCACTTGAGCGTGCTTTAGAGGGGAGGGGCTGCAGGCACGGCTGCAGAGCAGGGAGTGGAAGCAGAGCGCTGAACACACACAGCTCTTATTTAAACGGCGCTTTCTCACCGGAGTACTTTCCGCCGTCATTCTTAAACGGAGGAATCGTAACGTTTTTAACGGCAGGGTATCGCGGTATACCTATCAAGTATCGGTACACCGTGCACCACTAGTCAGGAGTCAGTGTCTCTCCCCCAAACTCACACATATAAAATTCAATATGAACTGAAGAGCCGCATGAAACTAGGCAAAGAGCCGCATGCGGCTCGAGAGCCGCAGGTTGGCCACCCCTGCTCTAGTGTGAATATTTCAAGATTTTCTTTGTTTATCATATTAAAGTGAATATATTTGGGTCGCTTTTAAAAAATTATTATTTTAAAGACAAAACTGGAGTTGGGGATAGCACGCATTTCTTATCCAAAACGTAAATCATATGATCAAATATAGTTACTATGAAGCCTATTTGAAAAAATATATTTTGTTTTTGATATTCCAGTTTATCTTTAACAGAGTAGAAGTTTGAAAAATGTCAGAGAAGAAAAGTTTGTTCTGTTCTAATATTATAAAATGTTTCTATTTGTAGAAAGAGGTGGACGAGACTCTGCTGACAAACGTATGGATAGATCATGTAAGAAATTATATTCTGTCACTTTATGTTGAATCCCTGCATCTCTGTCTCTACTTTATCTGATGTTTTTTGGTCTAATAACTATGGATGTGTGTGTGCTGACAGACGTGGGTTGACTTCCGCCTTGCATGGAATGAGACAGAGTTTGACGGCATCAAGGAGCTGCGTCTGCCTTCCAAAATGTTGTGGCTGCCGGAGATCGTACTGGAAAACAAGTGAGATTTTTCCCTTTTTTTTGTAATATAAATGAAAATAATCACACATTTTAAAAGAATAAAAAAAAAAATATTCAATGAGATTATAAGGTAATTAATTTGCGAGAGAAAAGTTGTTATTTCTAGTGTTAAAGTGGTAGTTTAATGAGAACAAAACTATTCTCTAGGATGAAAGAGGTACATTTAAAAAAAAATCTGGATTTTCTGACATTATGAAATCATGGATCTGTCTCTAAGTGGTTTGGTTTCTGATTTATTCATGAACAATTTATTTTCATTTTCATAAATGTACCCTTTTGTAGGTTGTAAAGTCTGGTTTTGTCTTGAAAATGGGCTGAATGTCAAATGTTAGATGCACTTCTAAAAGAGAGCCCACATGCTATAGTTTTGACAGAGCTTTAATGAGACATATCCATCTCGACTCATACATACTTTCGAACATATCAAATGAGTTGCCGTTGACTTGTATACATTTTAATTTAGTTTCTCAGGACTTAAAGAGCTTCCTGTCTATGTAAACTCCACGATATGACTGAAACCTCCAGAATAATGGATGTTGAGTTTAAATTGGTAAACTACAAATTGTTCAATTTCCATACATTACATTCAGCCAACCTCGTTTTGATTTTTCTTTCTCCTCCAGTAACGACGCCCAATTCGAGGTGGCGTACTACAGTAACGTGGTGGTGTATTCCACAGGTCTCTGCTACTGGTTACCGCCCCGCCATCTTCCGCTCCTCCTGCTCCATCAACGTCAACTACTTCCCCTTCGACTGGCAGAACTGCACGCTCAAATTTGTGTAAGACGCTTAAACCACACAGTGTCACGGTAACAGCTTTACAGGTATCCTGGTATATCGAGACAACTTGTCGCAAATGTCGCTTTTGCAAGTTTAATCTGCATTTGTTAAGGAAAGAATTAAGGAAAAACTGCTAGGTTCGCATGTTTAAGATCAGGTTATCTGATTTTCAGAATATTGTCTAGACTAGACAATAAGTTTTGAACTTTCTAAATAAGTGAACATCAGGATTTATCTCATTGTTTGATTCTATAGGTGCACACATTCACCAAACTATCTCAGAAAGCTCAGCCTCTAAACCTCAAATCATAATCTTACACCAAGATACTGAGGATCTCTTAACTAATATGTTTTAAACCAAGAAATCACAAATAATAACATGTTGACCAGACATTTGTGCATCGCAAATGCTTTGTGTCTTTCTTTTAGTCGATAAATCGAATACATGTTTTCTTTAGGCTGTTGCTTATCACATTGTATCTTACACTGTCATTACCCATGTTGCTTTGCAGCTCTCTGACCTACAATGCCAAAGAGATCAAGATGAATCTTAAGGAAGAGTGGTCCGATGACGGAAAAACTCTCTTATGTTTGGTGGAGTGGATCATCATCGACCCTGCCAGCTTTACAGGTGAGTGTCCTTCACATCTGTCTCTCATCATTTAATAAATAATAAACCAGCGAGAGATTTCACCTAAATATATTTTGTATATTTCATTTGTAAGTATATCTGACGTTTTTTGTTTGGTTTGCACTGTAGTAAAAAAATAAATGAATAGTGATAATAGTGGTTTGAATAATAAAATAAACGAATATCCTCTCTCTTTTTCAATTGATTTTGATGTTGTTAATTATGTGCAAGAGATCCTGATGTTCATTTAAAATATGTTTGGTATCTACTGATGTAAATGATATTAAAAAAACGTTTTTGTTCACAAAGCCCCCCTCAGGTTTGAAAAATATCCCATTTCCAGTCTCTATCATAGACATAGACATAGACATACTTTATTGTCATTTCAACAAGACACAGAGTGTACTATTAAAACGAAATGTTGTTGTACTGGCTTACAGGAACAGGACAGGACATGTGAACCTTATTCAATGTCTGCTTCACGTCCTCTATGCTTTTTGCTGTTTTTGGACAGAGAACGGCGAGTGGGAGATTAACCACCGCCCGGCCAAGAAAAACACGTACGAACACATCCCCATGGAGAGCAACAAGCACCAGGACATCACCTTCTACCTGATCATCAAACGCAAGCCGCTATTCTACATCGTCAACATCATCATCCCCTGCGTGCTCATCTCCTTCCTCGCATCCCTGGTCTACTACCTGCCGGCTGACAGTCAGTCATATTATAATACGTTTAAATGAATCAAACTCACTGTTGAATTAAAACCTTTGATCGGAACATGCATACAAAATGCTTTTTTGTTCACTTGGCAGCAAGTTTTATATTGAGATACATATTCTTCTTTTTTGTTATTTCTAGGTTCTGATCTTTTAAGAATGTAGAAATCTATATTGTTTATTAATTAATTCAAATGCTGTAATGCACATTTGTATTGATTGAGGAATTAACATCATCATCCCCTGGCTTCACTCTTACACCTTCTTCTTGACATTCAGTAATAACAATAATAATACATCTAATTATACAGAGCTTTTCTAAGCAGTCAACCCCCACAATAAAATAACACTTCATATTGGCATAGATTCAACAGTAACTGCTTTGAAATTGCTTTTTTTCTCACCTCCTGCAGGAAGTTCTAGTTGTATATGGAGATTATTGGAAAGTAGATGGAGAAGTTTGTTGGATTCTGAGGAACCTATTTACATTTTTTGTTATTTCACTGAAGTGTTGGTGTGTGTGTGTGTGTGTGTGTGTGTGGGGTGTGTGTGTGTGTGTGTGTGTGTGTGTGTGTGTGTGTGTGTGTGTGTGTGTGTGTGTGTGTGTGTGTGTGTGTGTGTGTGTGTTGTGTGTGTGGTGTGTGTGTGTGTGTGTGTAGGTGGTGAGAAGATGACCCTTGTCTATCTCCGTGCTGCTGGCTCAGTCTGTCTTCCTGCTGCTGATCTCTCAGAGGCTGCCAGAGACTTCTATGTCTGTTCCACTTATTGTCAAGTAAGCAACACTAACTTTTTTTTTCTTTTTTGAAATTATCTTTATTTTATTTTAATTTCAACAATGTAGTTCCTGCAACAAAAATACATTCCGAGTTTTCACATCTATTTGTGATTTTAAATGTCAGAAATTCGATTTCTAAGCATTGTCTAGTCTCAGAACAGGTCCATGTTTTTCTTATTGCATATGTATGAGTTTAAACTAAAGATTCAAGTTTTTCTTTTGCAAACTTGTGACTTTAATCATCAGTTTTTTCCTCTAAAAATGATCCCCTACCTAGTTTATGATAATTATTTGTAACCCAAACTGCCCCTCATACTTGTTTATCTGTGTGTGTGTCAGATACCTGATGTTCATCATGGTGTTGGTGACGGTGGTGGTGTTGAACTGTGTGGTCGTCCTCAACCTGCACTTCAGGACCCCGAGCACACACGTCATGTCTGATTGGACCAAGAAGGTAACACACACACACAAAAGAGTGATGCAGTAATGATGTATTTTTCAGCATCACCCTGGTTCTCCCGACAAAAGGCACTGGGATCTTTATATTTCATTTTGGATTATTGTAGAAAATGGCAAGATACTAATGATACTTACTTGTTTTGTTCAGCAGGATAAACTCCAAATATGAAAAAGCTAACTTGTTAGCAACCAGCGCTTTTAAATTTACCAGCTTGGTTTTTACTCACTTACTTTTTCGTTGAACAAAACATTATTATGTTATAAATATTATAAATCTCAACAGCTTGTGTGTTCACAGACCTTATTTCAGTCTTCTAAACCAAAATGCTAAAAAACGATTGAATTTCAGATGTGGAAACAGGAAGTGCTAAAATTCCCGGGTTTAGGACTCATTCCTGCACCCCTCTACAGTATGCACATTACCTTGGCTTTAAAAATGTTGCTCTTTTTTTCCTGCAGATGTTCCTCGAGCGACTGCCTCGCATCCTTCGCATGTCCCCACCAGACGGCGGCGGAGCCATACTGGGATGGAGCGTTTGCCACGGCGAACCAGCTCTGTGGGCTACATCGCCTCGGCGGAGGAGTACTACAGTGTGAAGTCTCGCAGCGAGCTGATGTTCGAGAAACAGTCAGTGAGGCACGGACTGATAACCCGCGCCACACACTCATCAGGTACCGGCAAAAGTGTCAATGAATTTCAACGGTGGAATATTTTATTCATTTCTTTTTCAACAGTTGAAAAAACAATTGTTATACAGAATTGAGATATTTAAAGAGGGAACTCTGATCAACTGTCTTGATCAGGATGCTTCTTAAGAATTGAGAATAAAAAAGAGAAAACATTTTATAAATATTCATGTATTAGACAGACACATTTACAAGCTTAAAACACCTGACACTAACCCAATGCCTAAAACTATTCTAACCCTAACTACATTCGTTTCATCAGTCTTAAACATTGTTTAAAACCAGGTAAAATATAGTAAACAGATATCAAATAGAACAGATGAAACAAAAAATGTATTTCAACTTGTTTAGACATGTAGTGTATTTAAGCTCTGACATATCTTAATAACAACTGCCACCTTAAGCTGTTTTAAAAGACTGAAATACATATATTGTGAAATATAAAAAAAGATTTGTACACTGTGAAAAGCGCTATAATGTGTGCAATATGTACTCTCTAAGATCACCCCATGGTTAACCAAAGGATGCTACGTTCTCACCCCTTTATTAATCCCTGTGTGTGTGTGTGTGTGTGTGTGTGTGTGTGTGTTGTAGTGTGTGTGGTGTGTGTGTGTGTGTGTGTGTGTGTGTGTGTGTGTGTGTGTGTGTGTGTGTGTGTGTGTGTGTGTGTGTGTGTGTGTGTGTGTGTGTGTGTGTGTGTGTGTGTGTAGTTGTGAAGCCTCAAGCTGATGGCGGGGGGTGACGGATCAGCTGTATGCGGAGATCAAGCCGGCGGTGGACGGAGCGAACTACATCATCAAACAAATGAGGAACAAAAACGACTTCAACGAGGTTGAGATGGTGGGGACGAAAAACTCCTCTCTCTTTCTGGCCCTGTTCTCTCCATCCCGCTGCCCCCCCCCTCGCTCATACTCCCTCTTTCTTGCTCCGTCTCCTTCTAACCCTCTTTTTATCTGTCTCCTAGCCCCCTCTTTCATTTTCTCTCCATCGCTCTCCCTTTCCTCAGTTACTCTCCAACTTTCTTTTGTTCCATTCCCTCCCTCCTTCTCTCCATTTCTCCCGTTCTCTCTTTTTCCCCTACTCTCCCCTTTTTCTTTTCTCAGACTCCCTCTGTCTTCTTGCACCCCCACGTACCTTCCTCCCTCCTCCCCTCTCTTCTCTACCTTCTTCTGTCTCTCTTTTGGGTCTCCCAGCTCTCCTTTAGGCTATATATAAATCCAGCTTGTGATTTCTCTCTTTATCTTGCCCCCCCCACATCTCTCTCTACTTGTATGTAGACCCAGCACTGACGCTCCCTATCTCCCCCTCTCTCTCCACTTGTATATGAACCCACCCCCTGACTCTCCCCCTTCTCCCCTCAGGAGAAGGATAACTGGAGCGGTGTCGCCCGAACGGTGTGGACCGTCTGTGTCTCTTCTTGGTTACCCGGTGATGACCATCGGCACCATCATCATCTTCCTCATGGGCGTCTACAATATCCCACCCCCCCTGCCCTTCCAGGGAGACCCCTACGACTACAGCGAAAATAAACCCTCGCCTGCCTGAATAGCTGTGTGACTTAAATATGGAGTGAATAACTTAATTAGTATATTACTATTTCAATAATTTTGTTTGTGTGATTTGAATAAAAATGTTCACTAAAATCCTTTAATACTATTTTTGTCTGTGTTAAATGTTAAGAAGCCCTCAGACGCTGTTTCTTGCAAGATGTTGCGTTTTGCCAACGTTACCGGGGGCATGGGGCTTAACTGTTTAATGAAGTACGGCATGTTTTATAATCCGGTTTAAAATGTGGTTTTACAGTTTCAAGAGAAAATAAGAGATTAGTATTTTTCAGCCATAATGTAGGAAAAGATGGAGGCTACAACATGTCATAAGGAGATCTAATAACCCTTATACACCCAGTGAATAGGGTAAAAAAGATAACTAATAGATATCACCATAAAACTTCCTACCTGGTTACTTACATAACATGTTCTCATTAATTAGTGCTAATATGCATACATTACCGTAACAGAAATGTGAACATTGGATAAATTCAGGTTCGAAATTCTTGTTTTATTTTGTTGACACATTATAGTCAAAGGTTTTTGCAGAGGGGGATTCTGGATTTTCCTTCATATCACTCCATACATGTTAAATGTATTGTTTCTTATCTTTTAAATAGTTGCCATATATGAGGTTTGAACCCATCACACAAAACATTACTTTTACCAATAAATTCAACGGAGACAAGAGGGAATAATTCCGAGCAAATATTATATACAAGTTGAAACCAAAAAAACAATAATAAAACTTCACAAGCAGTACCACAGTTTAACACTTCAACAAAACCACCCAAATACATACATAATCTCATGGAGGTTGGAATATTAACACAAAAAAAGCATAAACAAGTTTAACCCCATTGCAACAGTGAGAAGCTAATTGAAACATCACAATCTCAGGGCCTTTTATGTCATTTTAAAGCCATTTTAGCTGCTAAAGTGTATACAGTCACAATGCCTTAATTTCAATATGTTAGCACCATAGTTAACTACCTTCCTGCATATATAAAAATGTGTCTGCTTTTTACAGAGCAGACACACTTCTATTGTAGTCCGACATCCTCTGTGAGTCTATTTTTACAACTTCTTCTTTACCGTTTCTAGTCTAAGGACATCAGTAAGACTAACTTGCTCTACTTCATAACCGGAGTCCTTCCAGAAAAGCATATTGTAGTGCAGAGCTTTGAAAACATATTGGATAGAAACTGGAGGACAAAAAGGTGGTGGTTCACAAAACCAGAAGCACATCCAAATGAATCCTTTGTGGAGAGGATTGTTTTGTCTTGAGCTGTTTTTTGTTTTTACTGCTAGTCTTAATTTGTATTCATAACATTCAGTTCTTCTGGTTCTTCCTGATTCTCCAGGTTCTTTGCTGCTCCAGAAACATACTGGAAAAAAAATATCGTTTTTAGAAAAAGCAAATAGTCTTTATTTTTATGAATTGAAGTCAAATTGCTGCAATTGATAACAATAGTGACTATTCATTATAATTATCACTTGTTTTGTTTATTTTCTCTTCATCTATAGAGGTATGTACCCATGTACATTTAACTCCAAGGAAATGGGTGTTTGAAGCCTTAAACTAAATTGCTGATTTATACAACTAATCTTTATCAAAATTAAAAGGATAAAACTCGAATGCAGAATGTGATTTCACCTTTTTTCTTTTCACAGTAGATCAGCATACCAACAGCTACTGCAATAGCAATGGGTATAATCACTATGTATATTAGATTGGATACATTCCCTGAAAGAGAAAAGAGTATATGTTATGCTTAAAATTTGCAAGAACATTTCAAATGTACTATTCTGTCTTATTCTAATTTGTTCACTATCTTAAGTTGATTGCAACTTCTTTCTATTCCTTATTTAAAAACATTTGATAAGTATGTTTCCTGCATTCCTGATATTCCACCATTTTGGAGCTAGAAATTTCAAAAACCGGTGTGTGTTTTTGTTAAGTTCTTCCTCACACACTAAGACTTCCTGACTTGGGATATCTTACCTTGACTGTGCTCTATCCTCAGGAAGGTGTTGGTCACATATGTCCCCTCAGCATTACGGAGCTCACAGATGTAGATCCCATCGTTATCTGTTGATAAATCCTTCAGTGTGAGGTCTCCGGACGTAGACACACTCTTCACCTTCTGCCTCCACTCCTCCATCACTGACCCATCACTCACGATGATCTGACTGTGGTTGAACCTCCAGATGAGGCCTGTTGGAGTACTCTTTGAAGAGGTGCAGCGCATTGTTGTTTCTTTGCTGGAACCACTAAGAGAAGCTGAAATGAGACAACAGTATACAATAACAAATGTTTTTTCCTTACTGTAACTTTGTTTTTCCCAATGTAGTCTCTTTAGCAACACTTACTTTGCCTTAAACAAAGTGGCTGCCATCTTTGTTTCTGCGCGTGCTGACGGTTGCAGTTGTAGGTCACATCAGTAACTTTGACGTTCAGAGAACTGCTGAATTATACAGCTTCTGCTCAGTCTGAGGGACCGTGGTTTTGTTGTGGAGGGTTCTCGTTGGGCGGGGGGTCAATGGACCAGGTGAGCTGAGGCTCAGGGTAGATTCCCTCTGAGCTGCAGGTGGTCTTATTTTCTGCTTGCTGAATGTCCACTTTAAGAACTGGAGCTGGAAGAAAGAACAAAAAAGACGTTCAAAAAAAGGATTTTTCTTTATGTGTAATTTCTTTATAGGTGAAGTCACCTTAAAGGGGTGACATACGCTTATTTATTTCCACAAAAGCATATTTTTAAAACGTTTCTCTTTCTTATGTCAATATGGATTTTTCCAAGCAGGTCCATTGTATTTGACAGCAGTTAAACAAGATGGACTGACATTTTTAAAAAGAAAATAATTTGCTAATTAAACGTCGGGTAAAAAATGAAATGGATAAAGGATTTAAACAGGCCTTTTATTTCAGTTTTTTCTATAGAATGGTTAAATATATATTCATGGCTGATTTGCAATGAACATTGTAAGGTTTCCCATAAGATTGTAAGACAAGAGACGAATGAAGGCCGTGACAACACCGTCAAAATGTACTTTATTCTTTCTAAAAATGGCGTGACTTAAACAAACGAAAATGGAGAGAACAATTGCACTAAAAACATATGATGCACTCAAAATAATGTTTTCATACCGTCCACTTTTAGTTTTATGTGTGCCTCATGATGAGAGCTGCCTCCTTCAATGTGGCGTAGCATCTGTATGTGCCTTCATCTGGAATCTCCACTCTTTCCAGTTTCAGCGACACGTTTCCTCCAAAAATCAGATCCTGAACAGTGCCGTCCTGCCTTTGAAGCGTGGGTCCTGGTACTCAAATTGGTCATTTTTGCGGTTATAAAAAGAGTGGACTTGAGTGTATCCTGTTGAACCTGATTCCAGTGGATGACCCACCAAATCCCCGGGATTAACCTCAAAGATGCACGGTTGTAAAATGCAGCTCTCATTGAAAACACAGGATACCTCCTTCCTCTGCAACAACTGGTGAAGAAGGACATGCATCAAATAGTTCAGCCAAAATGTCATCGGATTATTCATGTTTTTGTTTAGTTAGATTCACTAACGTAACTGAATATTGCCTGTAGACGAACATTTTGTAGACCTGTAGGAACCTCTAAGGTGACCTGCATTAAAAACAAACATAAAAGTGACATTGCTAAGAATACTAAATAAAAGAAGCTTTTAGCGGAAGATAGAGGATGAAAGTAAAAGCCGTTTCACAAGATATTAATGAATTTATATTATATTCCTTTATTAGTAATAATCTACAAGTTGTAATAATTAATGTCACACACACACACACACACACACACACACACACCATATCACACACACACACACACACACACAACACACACACACCACACACAACAAACACACACACACGCACGCACACACACACACAGGAATGATAAGCATGCTGAAGGTTGAAATACAGGCTCTTACTTGCTGCACATTGTTAACCCACGGAATGTGCTAAGCTTGTGGGTGTGTGTGAGTGTGTGTGTGTGTGTGTGTGTGTTCGTGTGTGTGTTATTGTGTGTGTGTGGTTGTGTGGGTGTGTGTGTTGTGTGGAGGTTATTGATTGAGTAAAAACTAAATCATGACTAGGCTTTTTATTATGTCTGAATTGCACAATGTTGAAAATGTATCTGACTAATATAACAAACTATCTGAATTACTAGTAGATACCATGTTTATTTGTAAAATTTTTACTTGACTGTTTTTAACTCGAAATGAACTTGGATTCATTTTCTGTATTCCTTCTTCCTCATGTTTTAATTTAGTTTAATTAATTTACATTTAACCAATCTACAATACATTTAAGTTATCAGTGATAACAACTGATTATCACACTGAATCTTAATACTGAAATGTTTAGTTCATGCAGCAATAGCAACAAGTTAGCAGCATAAATAGATCATTTATTCAACAATTGAATGATGGTGCGCAAAGACAAGCTCATGTCTTTAAGGATTTTTGGTCATCATAAATTCCTGTGCCGAAGGTAACATGACAATGTATTCAACAGAGTTCAAACATGCCTTTTATTTGTGTTTCAGACTGGAATAAAACAAGCAGTGAACACTTCACTCACCTCCTCTGGCAAGACTCTGCAGAAAGGTCAGAACCCCCAGAAACACGACACATTTCATCCTCGTCCACTCATGTTAAACTCCCTCAGAGGAAAGTGTATACTGTCCTGAAACTAAAATTATTTCAGCTCTAAATGACACTCCTTTAATACCGTGAAACTGGCCTGACTGGTTTTATGAAAAAAATGTAGGCACTGAGAATAAAAAATAAAATAAGCAAAACATTTAGTTGATTAAAACATTAACAGCAAACGCTGTGAAGAAAAGCCATAAGATAATAACTTACCTTAAGACCTTTAAAGTTTTTCATGAAGGGTGCGGTCACTCAATGATACTCAAAGATAGACAAGTTAAGGAGGCAGAATAAGAGGATGTCAAGCAGCGATCAGGCTCACGGTTGGTAGATTCCAAATAAATAGGCTTTAAAAAGGCAGTAATCTGTTAATATAATTTCTAAAACTCACAGGTATCGAGTGAAAAGCAGCAAGGTGTGGCGTTGTTTTCTCTTTTGTGAATCTGACTCTTGTAAGTTTTGGTTTTGCCAGCTGATGATAGCAGAGTGTTGCAATAGTTGGTTCTTATCCAGATCTGAAACTGAAGGATTGTAAATGTACAACTAGTCACCTGAGCATCAGACACAACACCCGTTGACAGAGACAGAAAGTAAGCTTTCCACCTAGACTCTTTATGTGCATTTATGTACCCTTGTTACTGCCCCCAAAAAATGTCCCCTTTGTTGCCGTCCATACATTAGCATGGCAACAGCCTTGGTGCTATAAATGACTGATCTTTCATTTTATTGTTAACATTCTTTATATCTTTGTGAAAATAGTCATTACTCAATTATATTTATGACTACTGTTAATATTTTCAATATTTGTTCCTAAGTATGGTTGAGGCTGATGGGAGTGTGATCAGTTTAGCAGTTATTTTGACATAAACAAACTATTGAACAATAATTTTTAGGAGAGATATGGAATAGATATTTCTGCTTTCATTTGTTTCGTTATGAATAAAAACCAGATTGTGCTGACCATGAATGGACCAACACATTTCCACCCTGAAAGCGGTGACTCACTGACTCACCTGATGATGACGAGTAAAATGAAACAGATCCATTTATTGGAAATAAACCCGTCCTTCCTGTAATGGGCGGTAACAGGTGGTGATACTAAACAATATTATCTTTTTAAACTCCAATGAATAAAAAAAATCACTGCCATCAACCTTAAACATTTTGTAAGTTAAATAAAAGACAGATATTCCCCCAGATTACAATAAATATATTTTTATAAAACAAACCTTTACAACACAAGGCAGTCATTAATAAGCCCCATGGACACACACAAACAATTATTTGTATTAAAAATATTCTTTAGAACGACAATCAAAAAACTTGGTTAACCCAGCAATTATTTTGAGATGATAAAAAACATCGTAGTTCTGTTTTTGTGCTTGTTTTTATAAACAGATGACTTCTTCATAACCGTTTTGTTTAAGCATTGACGTGAGATCATACTTGCCAACCTTGAGACCTCAGAAATCGGGAGCATTTCAAAACCACCGCGGTGTTAATCTAATACATTAAGCATGTTAATATTAGATTAACATTAACATGCTTATTGTAGTTGTAAATGCACTGTCTTGATGGAGCATATGTGTGGGCTGGAAAGGAGTGAGCAGAGGGTGGAGTTGTCGATTCTTGTTCTGTTACTATTTTCCTCACCCTCTCAGATGTTCAGTTGCGCGTACTGCTAAAGAGACGCGCTACCATGGAAACCAAACAATAGTGTAGCTGTATTAAAGTCTGAGTGGAAACAGTCCTGAGTAAATCTGATTTTGTCAGAAATCGGGAGAAATGCGGGAGAAATATGACCCCGGGAGGAAAACGGGAGAGGGCAATGAAATCGGGAGTCTCCCGCGAAAATCGGGAGGGTTGGCAAGTATGCGTGAGATAGAGGCAGCATGCATGTCTTTAAAATCCAAAGTCTCACAAACTAATAGCTGCAGCGAAAGTGTAGCAGAGTCTCAGTCACAATGTCCTCGTTTGTCAGCGTCGATAAAGATGTTGGCTCCAAATCAAAGATCCAAAGGTCGTAGTTATTGGAAGACATCTTAGTCCATCAAAGTGCTCTTAAGTTCTTCAATTCCCAGTGTAGTTTCTCCAGCTCTGTTTATGTGTAACTTATAAAGTGCAAACATGTTGTTCAGTCAGTCATTTTCACCAGAGCTGTGGTTTGTAGTGCTGCTTTCTTTTCCAAGTATTTATTTTATATCACTTGACTTGATGATGTTTCCTGCAAACAAAATGGAACAGAATTCAGTCCTGAAAACACATCAAGCTCCCATTTATTCTTTTATTATAAATAACTTGTGCATGGGGCAAACACTATCACAGAAAACACAAGGTCAATTTGATTGAGTCACTATCATTTCTTTGACGCATGCATATTCTTCATATAATGCTTAATCAATGGAACAACAGATATATCATTCTGGTTTCAAGCTAGATTGGATTAGTGATATTTCTTCTTCTGGTGTTTTGCCCTTTCCATTACTTTCATTTTCTGCTAAGTTAAATAAAACAAAAGAGCAGATAAGATAAGCACACAGTGGAACTATTACAATTACAATAGATTTCAACTTTATTTGACCATGTTATTCAATAATTTTCCTTTTCTCTCTCTCTCTTAATCCAAAAATAAATGACAATTAGAACAAACTACACAAACACAAAAGGTACATTTGTGTAGGCAGAACTATTATTTACCTTTGTTTGTTTTTTTCGTGTTATGAGGAGAACCACCAGGACTGCAACCAAAACAGCTAACACAGCAACAACTATGCCTGCAATCCCTCCACCGGTCAGACCTGAAACTGAATACAAAAACAATTCTTACATTTGTATCAAAGTGCAATGTCTCATATCAAAATGTATGGATTGGAAAAAGTAAGATTGATGTGTTTTCAAATGTATTTAAAAATCATTTTTAACAATCACCAAGTATAATAATAAAGCACCACCTACAGTTATTCAAATGTAGAAACTTAAACTAAATACAATTATTTAAAACTGCATCAATGACAAACCATGTCTTACCAGGAAGCAATTGAATTATATTAAATGCAAAAATTGACCTAAGAGCATTTTTTCTCAACTTCCCTCACCATAATAACTTATCTTATTTATCTTTTCTATATTTTATTTGTTTTGCAGATCGCAGCAGGAGTGTTAACTCTGATGGTTCATGATTTCATGAGTGAGTAATTTCATTTTCATAACCTCCAAACAACACCCACTATTTACACTTACTGTACATGTGATAACAGTTTTTGGTTATCAAATACACCTCGTGCATCCTTACCTTGACTGTGCTCTATCCTCAGGAAGGTGTTGGTCACGTATGTCCCTTCAGCATTACGGAGCTCACAGGTGTAGATCCCATCGTGATCTGTCGATAAATCCTTCAGTGTGAGGTCTCCGGACGTAGACACACTCTTCACCTGCTGCCTCCACTCCTCCATCACTGACCCATCACTCACGATGATCTGACTGTGGTTGAACCTCCAGATGATGCCTGTTGGAGTACTCTTTGAAGAGGTACAGCGCATTGTTGTTTCTGCGCTGGATCCACTAAGAGAAGCTGAAAAGAAGACAACAATATAATGTTAATTAAAAAAAAGTTGTTTCCTTATCTAACTTTGTTTTCCCAATGTAGTCTCTTTAGCAACACTTACTTTGTTTAAACAAAGTGGCTGCCATCTTGTTTATGCCTGTGCTGACGGTGCAGTTGTACTCCACATCAGGAACTGAGGTAAAATAACTGAGGATGTTATAAAGCTGTCCAATCTGCTGCACTTTGATGTTTTCCGGCAGGTTCTGGTTAGACGGGGGGTCCGTGGACCAGCTGATCGCCGGCTTAGGGTAGACCCCCTCTGAGCTGCAGGTGATCCTTTTTCCGTCCTGCTGAAGTTCCACTTTACGGACCGGAGCTGAAAAATAATTGGTGTTGTAGGAAACCTGATTATCTTTAATGTTAAACTACTTCAATATAAAACCACTCCTTCCATTTGTATCTCTTATTACGAAGGTTGACGTTTTCATGATTAACCCTTTAACTGCCAGCGCCACCATTTGGTAGAGCACATTTTGTGTCTTGATATCTTGTTGAAAAAATAAATAAAATGTGTAACTCCATCTGATTCAGCCAGCTCTACCCTTTGGTTGACATGTTATGCACAAAACAACCTCTAGATGTCACTGTGGTTCGAACAGAAAGCCCTTCAGCTAGCTTCCACTGAGGAAGTTGGAATGCTAAAAGATCACTGCTGAAGAAATCACTCTTTTTGGTCAACTTTTGTAAGGTAACCATATCCTTTTTGACATATTTTACTGTCAGAGCACTTACTGAACATATTTAGATAACTTGATGAACAAAACAAAAAAAAAAAAGTTTTAACAAGGGTGTAATTATTTTTTGGAAAATATGTTCAACCAATCGGTCGAATTGGCCTTTTATGGTAAACTAGCAATATGACTTTTTCAGAGTTTCAGAGATGTTTTCCAATAAAATATGGTAAATAAATAGCTAGATTCATGGTAATATTACTAAATCTAGTCTAAACTGCCTTATGAGTTTCAGAATGAAAGAGTGACAATAATGTATATAGCACCTTTCATGCATGGCATTCAGCCCAAAGTTGCACACAGATGAGCATGTTAGGCCAACACAGGATATAGACATTTGCTGTTAGGCCAGTGGTTTCTTGTTAGGCCAATTCAGCATATACAGTAAGATGAGCAAGACTTAACATGACTTTTTTCCAAAAAAAATTGTTTACAATTATAATTTATTATCTTTTATGAATACATCTGATTGTATATATTGCTAATTTTCCATAAAATAAACAAATGTATTTGAGTTTGTGTTTTATTTGAGTTTGATGCATACAAATACTGTACTGTATTGTTGAAAATGCACTTTTACCATAAAAGGCCAGCTTGACCAGTTGGTAGAGGCTCATAAAAACCTGTGTGGTCAGTCAAAAAAATTAAAATGGTTTGTGGTTATTTGTGGCCCATTTGATAAAAAAATGCAAACAAATAATTTTTCCATAGCTTTTTTCTTGGTCTGGCAGTTAAAGGGTTAACTGTAATTTGCACTATCAAAACGTTTTTAAAGCAAAACTATATGTCATTCCTTAAAATATTTCACTAATACATTTGAGGGAATTAAATAGCTATATTAAACATCTTAAAGTGCCTTTATCTAGTATTCACCCTTGAGCTAACAAGCCGACCAATCAATACCGGTCACACACAGATATTTGTATTGCCTTATACTGGGGACAAAGAGTCATTTTATGGTTTATAAAAAGTCATTCAAAAAGCCTGAGGTGTTTTTCCATGGAGTCACTGCTCCAGCCAATAACCAACTTTCTTCAAAACGAATCTGAAATGCATTGCATCATGATTTTTTCTTTTTAAACACTATAATATATAGATATATTTAATAAAATGTTTATTACGGTTATTTGCACATGCATTCATTTAGGATAAGATAAACTAGTGTGGTGGATACATGGGGGTAAACTACCAAGATTTGATAACTATTTGAATACATTTCTCTCTCTCAAATGTCCCTTTATTTTGCTTTCATTGTGTTTTTTGCATATCAGCGCCGTGCTTTTCTTACAAAACTGTTGCACTAGTTTGATTTTCATTATCTGCTGGATGACCTTATTCTCACAACCTTGAATGAATCTGTTCTTGTGGGAGTGAAACTCAATCAGCCAGGTGTTTGTATGCTGTAGCTGAGAGCAGAGGAAAACTAACTGTATCACACACAGCCTGCATTTACTCTGTAAAGCATGTTAAGCCTTGTGTATGTTTATCTATATATATTTATAGGTTTACATGCTGCTTTAAAAGTGTGTTCTCAGCTCAGCAGTTTCTGTCAAACTCAAATGACTGAACTGAAGACAAAGTGTCCTTCACAGCATAACTTGAGCTTTTATGCTAGTGCGCTGTGTTTGTATTGTGCTCCTATCGCTGATCTAGACTAACTTTAAGCAACAGTACTCATTCTGCTGAAAAAATGCCCCCATAAATGATATATTATTATAATAACTGTACCTAAAAACATGTATTTAGTTCCTCATTAAGGGTCATACACTATCATCTAAAAAATATAAAACTTACCAACCACATGCAAGCTGATTTTATTTGACTCACGAACATTAATAGGAAAAACGTCTGTTATGTTTCTCCAATTCTGTGCAGTTCTGTATTGATAATTTGATGTTTTATGTTAACATTCTGATATTTGTAGTTTTTCTCATACCGTATGCATTTAGGTGGATGATGGTCTCTTTATTGTGATCGACGGTGCTGGTGTAACACTTATATCTGCCTTCATCCTCAACCTTCACCCCTGAGAGTAGGAGCGAGGCATTTCCTCCGGAGATTTGGTTCTTGAACAGCGAGGTTCTGCCGCTGAAACGAGGGTTCTGGTGGCCGAGCTGGTCCTGGTCGTGGTAGTAGGAGTGGGCTGGAGAGTCAGCTAACTGAATCCAGTGGACGATCACTTCGGCACCAGGCTGAAAACTGCACGGTAAGACGCAGCTCTCCCCCAAAAGACAGTCCAAAGCATCTGTAAAAACATCCAGGGAAGAAACATCTATCAAGGTCCAGTTCAGGGACAGTAGGCCTTTTTAAAGCCTCAATATTCACTTTTTTAAGCATATAAATTAAAAACACTTATCTCTAGTAGCAAAGATGAGGACATTTGAGATTGATGAGTCCTTGCTTTAACTTATATGTATAACTGTGTGTTATCTGCGAGCAATATATAACATGTTAATGAATTTAAAACATTTTTTAATTGACTTGAAACACTGTAAAACGTATTAATGCGGTTTTGATAAGAAAATGTATGAAAATAAACAAAATATTAAAAAGTTAGAAAAATAAAAGGAAATTCAAACTGAAAGCATTCAGTGTGTGTGTAGGTGTGTGTGCGTGTAGGTGTGTACAGTATGTGTGTGTAGGATTGTGTTCTGTCAGGTTGGACAAGATTCCAGTTAAGACAACATGAACATTGAATGGTTTCACTTCCTTACATTTTGATTGTAAGAGTTGTTTTTCTTTTTAAAACCTTTATTCAAATAGAAAAACACCATCATTCTAGACCACAAGTCTAAAGATCAGAGTATGATAGGTCAGCATATCGTTCATAAAAACTAAAGCAAATGATTGGCTTGGTGACCAGTGAAACCCAACAGCACATTGTTGCCACTGGGGGAAGAATGTGTGATAGTGTTTGTGTGATTTTAGTTGCTTCTAGATTTGATCATAGAACCATCATAATTAATATGGTAGTGCCTAAACGCCTCACTCACCTGCTCTGTTTGTCGTCAACAGGAAGGTCAAGATCCCAAAAAACACAAAACACTCCATAGACATACTCCTGGTGAATATCCACTGTAGGCAGTTTGTCTGAGCCTCAGGCGAGCAGCTGAGCCAAGCTGAGAGTGGTGCTAAGTTTAGAGTTCATAACGTGTCTGTGTGCAGGGCGTGTTTACGCAGGGTAAGGTTCATGTTCGTGTACTTGCATAACACAGTAACTGATAAAGAGCACAGCCTTCATATCTTCTCTGTCCTTGAGTTGTTTTCTTTTGACTGTGGAGGACACTGCTTCTTCCTCCACTCTCCTTCAGGTAGAAGGTTCTGCAGCCTGAGGTCCAGCACCACCCGACTAAAGAACAGTTCTTTCCACCAGGCTGTCAGGAGGCTGAACTCTCTTCCCTCCCTGTCCCCTCTCTTCCCTCTCTCCCCCTCTTCCTCTCACTTGACCTGGACTCTAACCCCACACACACTCAGACACCCAAATCCAGCACCAGACACTTTTTACGCTGCTATGGACAGTCTTGCACTAATGTACATTTCTCAAAGATATTGAAGTGACTGTTGTATATATTGATTGTTGTGCTTTTATTTATGTCTTAATGTGTGCATATGTATAATATATATACATACACATCAGGGTTTCCGCTAGGATTTTTTCTCGCCGGTCAAATGTCCGGGCAACATTTATTTTACCGGACAAATTTGAAACTTACCGGTCATATTTCAATAATAATAGTAAGAGTTGTGTAGCAGAGTTTCCGTTAGCAGGTAATTACCGGACTATGAGCAGATATGCTTCAGTTTAAAACTCAGTTCACGGGGCTCATTTTTATATTGCTTCAGTCTATAATCGTAACAGATCGAACAATTCAGATCAATTTTTCAATAAATGATTCCACAAACAACAAACAACATAATTATTACATTCAAACAAACTACTTGTAGTAGCCTAGATAACGTACATTATTCAAAAGTTTACATTAACTTTGAATAATAACACGGGAGAAACGGATCATCTCTTTTCCCCTCTCCCTCTCTCTCTCTCCTGACAGCCCGTCAGTTTCTCATGCAGCTCGCTAAACAGTGGGCGGGGCTTCAGGTGATTATGCAGAGCTGCGTGTCTCGGTCTGACTCAGCAGCTGATCTGATCTCTCTCTCTCGCGTGTCCGGTTATACTTCACTCGCGTTTATGTCCATATCGATCAGATCCAGCTCTCCTGATCGTTCTTTATATAGAGCACCGATCAAACTATTAAGAGTGAATATCGGCCGATAATGACCGGTGGCCGATCTATCGGAGCCTTCCTAATTATTACCAGACATTTTGACCGGCAGGTTTTGAATTTACCGGTTTTTAATAAATTTTACCAGCTAAAAACCGGTAATTACCGGCTAACGGAAACCCTGATACACATATATACCTACGGTGATGGAGAAAAAAAGGCCCAATTCATCAGGTGCCCAGTTTAGAAAGAAAAGGAAAGAAGAAGAAGAGAAACGCTCAAAAGATAAAAGGTATGTATGCACCTGTAACATCTCATTTATTTAGTTGGACTTTATTAAGCATGTTATTAAATGATGCCGGTAACCTTAACTCTATTGCTGCTTGTTAGCTGCCTGTGTTTCGTCGTCAGTTCAGCAACTAACATTGGAATCATTTTTCAACCGTCTTACTTCAGAAGGATAATTTGTAGCCCTGCAATAAAAACGTTATAAACAACCACTTTAACGTTATTGATTTAGTCACCTTCATTTAGCAAGTACTGACAAGTCCTTTGTGTAATTTTCAATACTGGAGGCTTAATTAAAAGATGTCTGTAATATAGGCCTACAGTACTGATATGTTGTAGCCAGGGGCGGATCTACGGGGGGGCAGCTGCCCCCCCACTGTAGAGCCTTGCCCCCCCAGCTGCCCCCCTAACTTTTGTTTCCCTAAAACTGTACTAAAACAAACCTACACTATTTCCACAAGCTTCGCAAGCAACAAAACAAGCATTACATTAGTTAAAAGTGAATCATTTTAAATATAATTTTAGGCCCGTTAAAAACGCAGCTACGGCCCTGCATTAAACTGCGGAGCGGCGTTCACACAGACAGAGAGGGAAGGAGCTGTCCCAGCACCTATGGATCAGCTTCCCCTGGGAGCATTTCCCTTTCCACTAGTTTTGTTTTTACTAAGGACGAGAGCTTGAAACTAAATATTAATAAAACGCTGCCGTTTGAATCGATAGCATTTAACAGACGGGCGCTGTTTGGGGCGTTACGTTACAAAATACTACGCAGACAGCGTTAGCTGGGAGATCGATCACTTTGCTAAACTACGCGGTAGCCTACTATTAAATCCACGTAAACTACACATCACAGCAATGAGGCCAGATCAATGAAACCAGGATACATCCTTTACTGTAAAAACTGGATCCAAACACAGCTGCCTGTGTGCGCTTGATCAATACTTTCTGATGTTATATGATATGCTACATATTAGCTAGGCTACATGGCCCTAACGCGTAAAGTTATACAAGCATTTGTACCAGTGCTTTTCACAAGTAGACTCTTGCAGGCCAGAGTATAGGAGTGATTCAACAACAACACAAAGACATATGAGAAGTGATCAGGACGAACAGATAGAGGAAAAGGAAAAGAGAGTTCACTGAAGAGACCAGGAGGGTCAGAGCAGGAGGAAGAGGAGGAGATGAAGAGACCAGGAGGGTCAGAGCAGGAGGAGGAGATGAAGACATTAGTCAAGAAGAAGAAATGTATGTGAGGAATAAAGATGAAGTGTCAGAAAGAGGGACAGAGGCAGGGATCAGGAGGCAGATGAAACTCCAGCTGGACCACATGGTATGTTCTTATTCTCCTTACATATTCCATCACAGCAGCACAATCTAGCAGCTTTTAGTATTGACAAATATTGATTGAAATGTGTTGCTGCACAGGTCACCTTCAGCTCTCTGAAGAGATGGGTGATGTCATTTGTGTACTTAATTATAAATTGAAATGTTGAGCTTGTCAATCTTAATCTGAAAATACAAAACCTGAAATATAGGTAAGAGAAGAAATTGACACTTTTGTGATGTAATTCCCTCAATGCAGATCACACATGGACTGATCCATTATTTTAATAGGAGGGTAAATGGTATAGCGTGACGGGGTTGAAACAAACTGAGGGACAATATTGCAATTTCATAGATAATTCAAGTATTTTTTCAGAATTTATTTTTGATCAGTTAAAGTTGACAAGCATATGATTATATTAGCAGCAACATTTTGGGATAATTGGCCATTTTGATTTGTTTGATATTAAATTAATATGTAATAATGCTTAGTGAGGACATGCAAATATGTCTGTCTAATTGTTACGTTCCCCATCCACAGGAAATTTGGGGAGCACAGCAACTGGAAAGTAACCAGTAGCCAGTTCAGACTGGACATGGACATTGTGAAGAGGTGCAGGCACAAAACCCATTTCAATACCTCTTACCACCATATTCGCATCACAGGCAGACTCATTACTCAAGGGCAGGGCACTCGCAAGAATGAACGACTGTGAGCCACCACTGTCTCGTAACATAGTAACCTGCCGCTGATCCTCCACCTTCCCTGACAGAGAGACAAAAGCAGTGGAGATGAATGGCTTAAAACACTCATCAGGGCCCATTTTAACAGTGGCCTGCCTACTAGGACACACTGTTTTAATCAAGCCCACCCCTTTTGGGTGCTTGTCACCTGCTGCCCGCTCTCGCTTCCAAGCTGCACAGTCTGCTATCATATGACCTGGGTCAAGACAAAAATAACAAGCTCTGTCTATCCTGGGACCTAACAATGGAACACTGGCACAGGGAACATAATTGTCAGGAGCTCTATTATAAGTGTCCTGCTGAAAGAAAATGCTCTTGTGTATCAGCGCAAACTCGTCTGCCAGAGTGGCAGCCTGCTGAAGGGTAGTCACTTTCTGCTCATTCAGATAGACTACCGTACGCTCCGGTACACAGTTTTTAAACTCCTCCAACATCATCAGCTCACACACTGAAGCAATGTCATCCGCTTTACACGCTCTACACTTCTAAAATGAAAAGGAAAAGAAAAATGAAAAGCAAACGCAGAATTGTAAACGAAACATTTAAAGTGTCAAAAAACAGAGCATACAATGAGAGCACATGATACACTTTAAATGTTTCGTTTACAATACTATTACTATATATGAAAGCAAAAAATAAAACACATTTCATTTTGTAATGGTTGTTTAATTGAAAACACAACATTCAACACATTTTCATAAAAAACACATTACATTTTACCAAGTTAATGTCGTAGTGCATACAAGGTAATAGACTTAACGATTTGCATTGCTGCTTCTCTCCGCGTTTCATTGACAGTGATCGGTTTATCGTTCAATTCACATTGCCCAAGTAGATGTTTAGGAGTCTCTTGAAAGTATACAAATGCATTTTTTATATCAGATAAATGCATTAACATCACATGCAAATTCTCTATCCTTTCACCCGCAACGATTATAATCTGCTTTGCTTCTTCTTCGGTTTCACCATTATTAGCTCTGAATGTAATCCTTTCTGGGGCTTCTTGTGCTTCTTGTGGTCTGTTGAATACCTGGCATAGGATTTGTTTAGCTGTAAGGACAGGTACCATATAATTGTCTTCAAAAGCTTTGTCTATGTCGTCACACGTTTTGGCGTATCCTTCGATGTAATGACAACCGATACAAGAATAGAGATCCTCCAACAGTCTTTTAATGCATGTTCTGGCACTGTCACCAATTTTGGCAATTCCATAGTATCGTGCTTTTTCTCTCATTATATTGAAGCAAAGCTCTGCCATTGCTTTTGGTATTTGCTAACACATTCGCAGCAGTCGGTTAGTGGTAGATGATCTATAAGATTATTATGATCCGGTAATGGCTCTACAACACCATCAGCATCCTCTAGTTTAAATTTCTTCACTTTGTTCCTTTTTCTTTTCACCTTCCTTCGTTTTGTCTTTTTGGTTTTCCGTCCTATTGTCCCTTTTCTTTTCATTCGCATTCTGCGTTTGCTTTTCATTTTTCTTCTCCTTTTCATTTTCATTTTTCTTCGTTTTTCTTTACTTTTTCTTTTCTTTTCTGCTAATTGTCATTTGCGAT